CCCCCCCCCATGGGGGTCCCCCACCATCCCTCCGGGACCCCCGAAGCCGCCGACGGTCCCTGCGCCTCCTCAGCCCTCGGAGGACGAGTCGTGCATCAGTGAGGTCACCAGCAGCGTCTGCGAGGAGGCCGCCGAGCCGGGGGGGCCGGGCCGCCCCCCGACAGGTGCGGGGAGCCCTGGGGAGGGCACCGGGAGGGCACCGGGAGGGAGTGGGCACCGGCGGAGGAGCGGGAAGGGGGAACCGAGGCGGAGGCAGCTCTGCCTGCCGACACGGGAAGGGGAAACGCGGGACTGGGGGAACAGGGGGAAGGGACAGCTCTGCCCCCCGACAGCTGCGGGGAGGGGGCGGCTCCGTCCCACCGCCCGCTGCCCGGCAGGAGCAGAGCGCCCGGGGCTGCCGGCGGAGCCGCCGCCGCTGGTTGTCTTCTGGCAAGGTGAGAGCCCGGGAGGGTGTTGGGCGCTGGGAGGTCCCCCCAGAGTGGGGGGACAGGGGGGGTCTCACCTCCTCCTGTTCCTCCTCCTCCAGACATGAGGTGGAAGAACAAATTCTGGGGCAAATCCCTGGAGATCGTCCCCATGGGCACCGTCAATGTCCAGCTGCCCAGGTGAGACCCCAGCCCCACAGATGGGCTCCCCCACCTCCGCCCCCGTGCCCCCCTGCCCTCCGTGCCCACCCACGGGGGCGGTGCCCGCAGGACCGGGGACCACTACGAGTGGAACAAGGTGACCACGTGCATCCACAACGTGCTGAGCGGGCCGCGCTGGATCGAGCACTACGGGGAGGTGCTGATCCGCAACACCCGCGACGCCTCCTACCACTGCAAGCTCACCTTCTGCAAGGTGTGCCCCCCGCCCCGCCCCTTCCTGCCCAGGCCCCGCCCACCCACTGCCCTGGCCCCGCCCCTCTGCATTATCGTGGTCTGGCCCCGCCCCATCACTGACTTGGTAATTAAAGGCTGTGTTGTTGCCCCGCCCCTTGTCTGGCCCCACCCCTTGCTTATGGCTCCACCTCTTCCCAGTAGCCCCGCCCTTTCCCCAGTGACCCCACCCCCTTAGTGCCCCACCCTCTCCCAATTACTCTGTCCATCACTCCTGGCCCCACCCTTTTCCCAGTAGCCCCGCCCTTTACAAATGACCCCACCCATCATAGCCCCACCCCTTCCCAGTGACTCCACCCTTTCCAGAAGCCTCCACCCATCACTCATTGCCCCTCCCTTTTCCAATAGCCACGCCTCTCCCAGCGGCCCCACCCTTTCCCAGTAGCCCAATTACTCCAGCCTTTCCAGAAGATTCCTCCTCATGGCCCCACCCTCTTCCCAAGAGCTCCACCCTTTCCTAGGACCCCACCCTTCCCTAATGACCCCACCCTCTCAGAGCCCCGCCCTCTCCCACTGGCCCCACCCTTCCCCACCGACCCCGCCCCACCGTGGCGGCCCCGCCCCGGCCCCGGTGGCCCCGCTGAGGCTGCGGCGGCCGCAGGCCCGGTACTGGGGCGCGGGGGCCAACGAGGTGCAGGGCGCCGTGCTGAGCCGCAGCGGGACGGCCGTGGAGCGCCTGGCGGGCAAGTGGCACGAGGGGCTGCACCGCGGGCCCGCCCCGGGCCACTGCGTCTGGAGAGCCAGTAAGGAGCCGGGGACGCCGCCCTGGGGGGGTCACCCCAGCCCGGGGGGGCTCTCACTGTCCCCACGCCCCCCGCGCAGACCCCATGCCCCGCGACCACGAGAGGAGCTACGGCTTCACGCAGTTCGCGCTGGAGCTGAACGAGCTGACGCCGGAGCTGCGCCGCGTGCTGCCCTCCACGGACACGCGCCTGCGGCCGGACCAGCGGTCAGCACCCCCGGGCCGCGGGCCGGGCCGGGCCGGGCCGGACCGGCCGGCCGCTCACGGCCGTGTCCCGTGTCCCCCCAGGTACCTGGAGGAGGGGAACGTGCCGGCGGCCGAGGCGCAGAAGCGGCAGATCGAGCAGCTGCAGCGGGACCGGCGCCGCGTCATGGAGGAGAACAACATCACCCACCAGGCACGCTTCTTCAGGTCTGGGGGCTGCCGGGGCTGGGTCGGGGGCATGGGGAGACCTTCCGGGGGTCCTGAGGGCAGCTCGTGGCTCAGGGGATGTGGGGCTCTCAGGGGGATGCAGGGGTCTTAAGGGATGGGGAGACCCTTCCCAGGAGTCTTGAGAGCGTGGCTCAGGGGGGTGTGGGACTTTCAGGGGGGTGTGGGGCTCTCAGGGAAGGGGGAAAGCCCCCCACGAGAGGCCTGAGGGCACCCCAAGGCTCAGGAGGATGTGGGGCCCCCCATGGGAGGCCACCCCATGGTTCTGGGAGATGTGGGGGATTTAAAGGAATGGCCAGACCCCCTGGAGACCGCGTGGTGCGGAGGAGCGTGGGGCTCTCGGGGGGGCGTGGGGCTCTCAGGGAGTGGGGAACCCCCCCTGGAAGTCCCAGCCGTGCCCCCCGCCCCATGGCCAGGCGTGTGACAGATGCCAGTGGCAAGGAGTCCTGGGTCACCAACCACACCTACTGGAAGCTGCGCCTGGACCCCGGCTTCTCCCACCTGGACAGCGCAGTGCTCTGGTAGCCCCCCCGAACCCGGGGGGTGCCGAGCCCCCCCAGCTCCTCACAGCAGCGGGGCTGGTCCCCCCGGCACTGGGGGTGCAGAACCCCCCCCCCTTTCCGAGCCATTTTGCCGCTGTTTCAGTAAAACTGTGATATCAAAATGGGAGGGGGGCACTGGCAATGCCTCCCCCCGCCCCGGGGCAGAGCCTTGGGGACACCTGAGGCACTTTGGGGCAGGGGCTGGCAGTGCCCCCCTGCCCTGGGGGCACAGGATGATGAGGGGGGGTTCCGGGGGTCACAGGGTGCCCGCGGGCGGGAAGACCCCACTGCCCCCCCCCCCACCCTCCAAAATTGTGCACAGGGGCTGCTCTAATAAAGGCTGTGAAGAGTTGTGGTGTGCAGAGAGATCCCTTCTCCCCCCCCCACCATCGCCACCCCTGGGGGTCTCAGGACCCCCTCCCAAACCAGGCTGGCGATGCACAAGTCCCTCCCACCCCTCCCCGTGCCTCAGTTTCCCTCCCCACACGCACAGAATTGCCCAGAGCCGTGTGCCCCAGTGCCCCCTTTATTGCGATATGCTGCTGCCCCCCGCCCCACACCGGGCACGGGGGGGGCTCAATAAATACTTCAGCGTTAACCCCCCTCCCTTAAAAACCACCGACACCAAAAAAAAGCCCCTCACCCCCTTCCCCCCCACCCCGCCCACCCCCCCCCCCGCGGGGGAGTGGTTTCGGAGCAG